AACTGATCAATATTTACATCAATGACAGTCTAGTCCTGGTCTACAGCCTCAGCCCTGGTCTACAGCCTCAGTCCTGGGTCTACGGCCTCAGCCCTGGTCTACAGCCTCAGTCCTGGGTCTACAGCCTCTGTCCTGGGTCTACAGCCTCAGTCCTGGGTCTACAGCCTCAGTCCTGGTCTACAGCCTCAGTCCTGGTCTACAGCCTCAGTCCTGGGTCTACAGCCTCAGTCCTGGGTCTACAGCCTCAGTCCTGGGTCTACAGCCTCAGTCCTGGGTCTACAGCCTCAGTCCTGGGTCTACAGCCTCAGTCCTGGGTCTACAGCCTCAGTCCTGGTCTCTCTCTCCCCTCTGGGCTGTGTAGGCGTGTTGTCTGACCTGCGTCTCCGTAGCTTCTTGTTCTGGGTCTCGAGCAGGTGCAGTTTCTTGGTGAAGCAGACTATGATCATGAAGAGCAGCAGCAGGACCACGGCCGAGGCTCCGATGGTCGCACACAGGACCTGGAACTCTGTGACCGCGGACTCACAACGCTCCCCTTTGTTCCACACATACTCCTGCACATTACACCTGCAACACACACAGACTGTGTTGTGACACAATACAACAACATGAACACAAAAGCACACATACACAAACACACATAGAGAGAGACACACAGAGAAACACACACACAAACAGACACACATACGCACACACACAGACGGACACACACATACACTCTCTCTCACACACACACACACATAAGCACACACACACACACACACACACACACACACACACACACACGCACACACATACGCAGACACACACACACACACACACAGCAGTGTCCCGCACAGATGGGCTCTCTCTTATGGCTCCATCCATCTCATCTTTAACCAGATGAATCTGCTGCCATGGCAACCACAGGCTGTATACAGACAATGCTAACGCTAATGCTAATGAGAGAGACCAGAGAGAGAGACCAGAGAGAGAGACCAAAGAGAGACCAGAGAGAGACCAGAGAGAGAGACCAGAGAGAGAGACCAGAAAGAGAGACCAGAGAGAGACCAGAGAGAGACCAGAGAGAGACCAGAGAGAGACCAGAGAGAGAGACCAAAGAGAGACCAGAGAGAGACCAGAGAGAGAGACCAGAGAGAGAGACCAGAAAGAGAGACCAGAGAGAGACCAGAGAGAGACCAGAGAGAGACCAGAGAGAGACCAGAGAGAGAGACCAGAGAGAGACCAGAGAGAGACCAGAGAGAGACCAGAGAGAGACCAGAGAGAGACAAGAGAGAGACCAGAGAGACTAGAGAGAGACCAGAGAGACTAGAGAGAGACCAGAGAGAGACCAGAGAGAGAGACCACAGAGAGAAACCAGAGAGAGACCAGAGAGAGAGACCAGAGAGAGACCAGAGAGAGAGACCAGACAGAGACCAGAGAGAGACCAGAGAGAGACCAGAGAGAGAGACCAGAGAGAGACCGGAGAGAGACCAGAGAGAGACCAGAGAGAGACCAAAGAGAGACCAGAGAGAGAGACCAGAGAGAGACCAGAGAGAGACCAGAGAGAGACCAGAGAGAGAGACCCAGGACTGAGGCTGTAGACCCAGGACTGAGGCTGTAGACCCAGGAATGAGGCTGTAGACCAAGGACTGAGGCTGTAGACCCAGGACTGAGGCTGTAGACCCAGGACGGAGACTGTAGACCCAGTCTGTCTCCCAGTCTCCCAGTCTGTAAGTGTCTCTAGTCTCTCTCTCTGGTCTCTCTCTGGTCTCTCTCTGGTCTCTCTCTGGTCTCTCTCTGGTCCCTCTCTGGTCCCTCTCTGGTCTCCCTCTGGTCTCTCTCTGGTCTCTCTCTGGTCTCTCTCTGGTCTCCCTCTGGTCTCTCTCTGGTCTCTCTCTGGTCTCTCTCTGGTCTCTCTCTGGTCTCCCTCTGGTCTCTCTCTGGTCTCCCTCTGGTCTCCCTCTGGTCTCTCTCTAGTCTCTCTCTCTGCTCTCTCTCTGGTCTCTCTCTGGTCTTTCTCTGGTCTCCCTCTGGTCTCTCTCTGGTCTCTCTCTGGCCTCCCTCTGGTCTCTCTCTGGACTCTCTCTGGTCTCTCTCTGGTCTCTCTCTGGTCTCCCTCTGGTCTCTCTCTGGTCTCTCTCTGATCTCTCTCTGGTCTCTCTCTTTGGTCTCTCTCTGGTCTCTCTCTGGTCTCCCTCTGGTCTCTCTCTGGTCTCTCTCTAGTCTCGCTCTAGTCTCTCTGGTCTCTCTCTGGTGTCTCTCTGGTCTCTCTCTGATCTCTCTCTGGTCTCTCTCTGGTCTCCCTCTGGTCTCTCTCTGGTCTCTCTCTAGTCCCTCTCTAGTCTCTCTCTAGTCTCTCTGGTCTCTCTCTGGTCTCTCTCTGGTCTCTCTCTGGTGTCTCTCTGGTGTCTCTCTGGTCTCTCTCTGGTCTCTCTCTGGTCTCTCTCTGGTCTCTCACTGGTCTCTCACTGGTCTCTCTCTGGTCTCTCTCTGGTCTCTCTCTGGTCTCTCTCTGGTCTCTCTCTAGTCTCTCTCTAGTCTCTCTGGTCTCTCTCTGGTCTCTCTCTGGTCTCTCACTGGTCTCTCTCTGGTGTCTCTCTGGTCTCTCTCTGATCTCTCTCTGGTCTCTCTCTGGTCTCTCTCTGGTCTCTCTCTGGTCTCTCTCTGGTCTCTCTCTAGAGTCTAGTCTCTCTGGTCTCTCTCTAGTCTCTGTCTAGTCTCTCTGGTCTCTCTCTGGTCTCTCTCTCTGGTCTCGCTCTCTGGTCTCGCTCTGGTCTCTCTCTGGTCTCTCTCTGGTCTCTCTCTGGTCTCTCACTGGTCTCTCTCTGGTCTCTCTCTGGTCTCTCTCTGGTCTCTCTCTCTGGTCTCTCTCTAGTCTCTCTGGTCTCGCTCTGGTCTCTCTCTGGTCTCTCTCTGGTCTCTCTCTTGTATCCAGTGTAAATAAGTGTTTCTGAAGTGTAGCTCAGACATGATTCAGCTGGAGGCGAGGAGGGGGAGGGGCCAGAGTGTGTGTGTGATGGAATGGCATCTGCTGCTGCGGTTGCCATGGCTACTGTCTCCTCTCTGTCTCCTCTCTGCTCTGAGGGTGACTTACATAAGCTGTGTCTTTGTGCGTGTGTATGTGTGTGTCTGTATATATGTGTGTGTATGTGTAAGTGTCTGTGTAAGTGTCTGTATATGTGTGTGTGTGTGTGTGTGTGTGTGTATGTGTGTGTGTGTGTATGTGTAAGTGTCTGTATATGTGTGTGTGTGTGTGTGTTTGTATGTGTAAGTGTCTGTGTAAGTTTCTGTATATGTGTGTGTGTGTATGTGTAGGTGTAAGTGTCTGTATATGTGTGTGTAAGTGTCTGTATATGTGTGTGTGTGTGTATGTGTAAGTGTCTGTACATGTGCGTGTGTGTGTGTGTGTGTATGTGTAAGTGTCTGTATATGTGTGTGTGTGTGTATGTGTGAGTGTCTGTGTAAGTTTCTGTATATGTGTGTGTGTATGTGTAAGTGTCTGTGTAAGTGTCTGTATATGTGTGTGTATGTGTAAGTGTCTGTATATGTGTGTGTGTGTGTGTGTATTTGTCTGTATATGTGTGTGTGTGTGTGTGTGTGTGTGTGTATGTGTAAGTGTCTGTATATGTGTGTGTGTGTGTATGTGTAAGTGTCTGTATATGTGTGTGTGTGTGTAATGGTGTTTTCACACCACCGACGCTGGAACGCTGAAGCCTCGCTCACCAGACGCACATTCTTTAGTTTTCAGACGCAGTGGTCTTCACACCAGAAGTGCTGCTGCGGTGGCGCCCGCCGGAAGTGCCGGAAGTAGCGGGTGGGCTCTGATGCTAACAGAGTTTAGCTAGTGGCTTTTTGTGTAAAGATCTTCTCCAATAATGCAGCTTTGCAGCGTCTCTGTTTCTGAGACCTTCACAGACTTTATATAACAGCAGTATGTGTTCACGGAGGTGACTTTATATAACAGCAGTATGTGTTCACGGAGGTGACTTTATATAACAGCAGTATGTGTTCACGGAGGTGACTTTATATAACAGCAGTATGTGTTCACGGAGGTGACTTTATATAACAGCAGTATGTGTTCACGGAGGTGACTTTATATAACAGCAGTATGTGTTCACGGAGGTGACTTTATATAACAGCAGTATGTGTTCACGGAGGTGACTTTATGACCCTGGTGTAGTCTTGGTTTAGTCCTGGTATAGTCCTGGTTTAGTCCTGGTTTAGTCCTGGTGTAGTCCTGGTGTAGTCCTGGTTTAGTCCTGGTATAGTCCTGGTATAGTCCTGGTTTAGTCCTGGTATAGTCCTGGTTTAGTCCTGGTGTAGTCCTGGTTTAGTCCTGGTTTAGTCCTGGTATAGTCCTGGTTTAGTCCTGGTGTAGTCCTGGTTTAGTCCTGGTATAGTCCTGGTTTAGTCCTGGTTTAGTCCTGGTGTAGTCCTGGTGTAGTCCTGGTTTAGTCCTGGTATAGTCCTGGTTTAGTCCTGGTTTAGTCCTGGTATAGTCCTGGTTTAATCCTGGTTTAGTCCTGGTATAGTCCTGGTTTAGTCCTGGTGTAGTCCTGGTTTAGTCCTGGTATAGTCCTGGTTTAGTCCTGGTTTAGTCCTGGTATAGTCCTGGTTTAGTCCTGGTTTAGTCCTGTTTTGGCTGTTTACAGTATGTTCAGTCTGCTGGCTCAGACACTAATGTCCCCGTGACCACTTTGCAGCTCTCTGATTGGTCGCTGCACGAGCGTCCCTTCGACTTCCCAGAGTGGTCCGTGCGTGGATTCAGAGAGTGTGTGTGTGTGTCTGTGTGTGTGTGTGTGTGTGTGTATGACGTTGTGTTTCTCTGAGTTTGAACCATTATTGTCTGTTATGTATGTTTCCTAAAGAACCTGTGTCGCTGTCGTTGTGTTGCCCTGACGACTGCTGCTGAATCACACACAGTGACTGACAGGTGTAAGGTGTGTGTCTGTGTGTCCCACAGACACACACATGAGAGAGGAGAGGAGAGGAGAAGAGAGAGGAGAGGAGAGAGGAGAGTAAGTAAGTAATATTTATTTATATACCGCCTTTTTTTGGGCACTTGTCTCTCGCTCCACACAGAGAGAGGAGCGGGGTCGCCGAACATGAGGCACATGCCAGAACTATTGTGCATATTTTTAGTAGTAGGGGAAACCGGAGTACCCGGAGGAAACCTACGCAGGCACAGGGAGAACATGCAAACTCCACTCAGAAAGGCCCGGGTCCGGCCGGGATTCGAACCCAGGACCTTCTTGCTGAGAGGCGAGAGTGCTATCCACTCAGCCACTGTGCCGCCCGTGAGGAGAGGAGAGGAGAGAAGAGAGGGAGGAGAGAGGAGAGGAGAGAGGAGAGGAGAGAGAAGAGGAGAGGAGAGAGAGAGGAGAGAGAGAGAGATTATAAACAGCAAAAGTGTCTCTGTAAACTCCATCCATCCATCTATTTTCTTCCCCTTAATCCATTTCTGGGTCGGGGGGTGGCCAGAGATGCCACCCAGTCCACAGAGCACCAGCCCCTCACTGATCCTCCTGCAGGTGCTGAGTCCACAGGAGCTGAGATCTTTCAGCGGGGGCTTCAGGCAAAGTGGGGTTAAGTGTCTTGCCCAAGGACACAACGACAGCAGCCATCAGTGGGAGTCATGAAGTAGGTCTTATGGTGGGCTCGAACCCACGACCTTCAGGCTCAAAGGCCAATGCTCTACCAACTGAGCCACTGTCGCCCTGTCTCTGTAAACCGCTGTCATTAAATCTGTTTGATGTGTTCAACATTTTACTTTTGGGCACAACCAAGAGAAATGTAGGTACCCCAGTTTAGGCCGATGCCCAAATATGGGCATTGGCCCTTCTGGCATACACCCACTGGCCAGTGCAGCCATGCCCCCCCCCCCCCCCCTTGCTTCACCTGTAGAAGGCTCCTCTCCCCTCCCTCCCCCTTGCATCACCTGCAGAAGGCTCCTCTCCCCCCCCCTCCCCCTGGCATTCACCTGCAGAAGGCTCCTCTTCCTCCCTCCCCTCCTCCCCCTTGCTTCACTTGTAGAAGCTCCTCTCCCCTCCCTCCCCCTTGCATCACCTGCAGAAGGCTCCTCTCCCCCCCCCCCCCCTCCCCCTGGCATTCACCTGCAGAAGGCTCCTCTCCCCCCCCCCCCCCCCTTGCTTCACCTGTAGAAGGCTCCTCTCCCCTCCCTCCCCCTTGCATCACCTGCAGAAGGCTCCCCCCCTCCCCCCCCCCCCCCCTCCCCCTGGCATTCACCTGCAGAAGGCTCCTCTCCCTCCCTCCCCTCCTCCCCCTTGCTTCACCTGCAGAAGGCTCCTCTCCCCCCCCCCCCCCCCCTTGCTTCACCTGTAGAAGGCTCCTCTCCCCTCCCTCCCCCTTGCATCACCTGCAGAAGGCTCCTCTCCCCCCCCCCCCCCCTCCCCCTGGCATTCACCTGCAGAAGGCTCCTCTTCCTCCCTCCCCTCCTCCCCCTTGCTTCACCTGTAGAAGGCTCCTCTCCCCTCCCTCCCCCTTGCATCACCTGCAGAAGGCTCCTCTCCCTCCCCCTTGCTTCACCTGCAGAAGGCTCCTCTCCCTCCCCCTTGCATCACCTGCAGAAGGCTCCTCTCCCTCCCCCTTGCTTCACCTGCAGAAGGCTCCTCTCCCCTCCCTCCCCCTTGCATCACCTGCAGAAGGCTCCTCTCCCTCCCCCTTGCTTCACCTGCAGAAGGCTCCTCTCCCCTCCCGCCCCTCCCTCCCCCCCCTCCCCCTTGCTTCACCTGCAGAAGGCTCCTCTCCCTCCCCCTTGCTTCACCTGCAGAAGGCTCCTCTCCCCTCCCTCCCCCTTGCATCAGCTGCAGAAGGCTCCGCTCCCTTCCCTCCCCTCCCTCCCCTCCCTCCCCCTCCTCCCCCGTTCCTCACCTGCAGAGGGCTCCGTTCCCCTCCTGGATGTAGCACTGTCCCCCGTTGAGGCAGTAGTTCCTCTGTAGGTCGCAGGTTGAGCGGCAGACGCCGTTCTCCCTCAGGTAGCCGGCCCTGCAGCCCCCCCGGCCGTCAGAGCCGTCAGAGGAGCGGCCTCCGGAGGGGGGAGCCGCGGGGGGGAGGCGGGAGCGGGAGCGGCGTGGGTCGTAGGAGTCGGTGGTGCTGAGGTCGTAGTCCCCCGCGGTGGGGGAGACGCCCTCCTCGTAGGGGGTGAGGTAGTCGTAGTCGTCAGGGACAGCCCAGGAGGTGGGGTCCCCCCCCTGCAGCTCGGCCTGAGAGGGGGAGGGAGGGGGAGGGGCTAAGTCCAGGCCCCTCCCCCGAGAGGACGGGTCAAAGAAGTCCACCTTCAGGACGTCCTGACCAGGGGGGAGGGAGGGGAGGGAGGGGACGGGGGAGGGAGGGGGTGAGGGCAGTCGGTCCAGACTGAAGACTGCGGTGTCCTTGTTGTGGATCCAGGGGGGAGGGGTGTGAAGCTCCTCCCCCTCTGGCCCTGCCCCCTCTGGCTCCTCCCCCTCGCTCACTTCCTGGTTGTTGCTCGGCAACAGCAGCTCGGTCTCTGCGGAGTCGTAGCTGATCTGTGGAGAGTCGTGGGTCTCAGGGATCAGAGGGAGCTCAGGGAACAGGCCGCTGCCCTGGTCCTCGCCCCCCCGCGGCACACGGCCCCCCCGCGGGCTCGTCGTGCTCACGCTGTCAAGACTCACTCCGGTTACCGTGACGATGTCCGCCGCCCTGCCCGGCTCCGCCTCCTCTGGCAGCACCAACGTCTGATTGGCTGAAACCTCGGTGCCGTTCGGTCGAGCTTCAAGACCTGAAGAAACAGAGACAGCTATTTATAAGTGTGACATCACCACAGTGTGACATCACCACAGTGTGACATCACCACTGTGTGACATCACCACAGTGTGACATCACAATATTGTGGTAGAATAAATAACCACAATGAACCAGCAACAGATACAACAGAATGAAAGATGTTGGGTGTTTTTTTCGTCTACGCTCCTCTCTGGTCTCTCTCTGGTCTGTCCCTCTGGTCTCTCTCTAGTCTCTCTCTAGTCTCTCTCTGGTCTCTCCCTCTGGTCTCTCTCTGGTCTCTCTCTCTGGTCTCTCTCTGGTCTCTCTCTGGTCTCTCTCTGGTCTCTCTCTGGTCTCTCTGGACTCTTGGCACTGGCTGTGACCGTGGTAACCGTTTAACACTGCTCAGACACACGAACACGGGGCGATCTCATTGGCCACGGCAGCTTGTGAAGTGGATGCTGATTGGTTGTGACAGCTGAGGCCCGCCAGCCTCAGTCTGAGACCTTTGTCCAGAGGCTAAAGCACTTGACCCTCTATTGTCTGACATCACAGATAACACAGACTGCACACAGATGTATGCTAACGCTAACTCAATGGAGCCTAACAGGGAGGTGCTCATAGACAAAGTTTGGCTCCTCTCTCTGGCACCTTTTGACTCCAAGTTATTTTTTTTTATGTGATGTTGTCTTTGTAAATCCATATATACCGCAGGGCCTTTATCCCCACCGCTGTCAGACTGTACAATAAGTCACTTTAAATGATCACTGTGTGAAAACCTGCACTACTATTGACACTGTTTCCAATTGACACTTGTCACTTGTCACTTTTGTTGCACATAATTATTGTCACTTTTATTGTATATATACGTCCTGCATGTTACATGTTTGCACATTTCCTCCTTTTGCACAATCTGAGTCTCTCTATCCATGCCAAATGTGACATGTACATTTCTCCTCTGTGAGATAAATAAAGCACATCTTATCTTATCTTATCTTATCTTATATGACCATATAAGGACTGACCAATCAGAGGCCTTCATTCAGGGGGAACTCTGGCTTGTGTCTCTGGTCTCTCTCTGGTCTCTGTCTGGTCTCTTTCTGGTCTCTCTCTGGTCTCTGTCTGGTCTCTCTCTGGTTTCTCTCTGGTCTCTCTGGTCTCTCTCTGGTCTCTCTTTGGTCTCTCTGGTCTCTCTCTGGTCTCTCTCTGGTCTCTCTCTGGTCTCTGTCTGGTCTCTCTCTGGTCTCTCTCTGGTCTCTGTCTGGTCTCTGTCTGGTCTCTCTCTGGTCTCTCTCTGGTCTCTCTGGTCTCTCTCTGGTCTCTCTCTGGTCTCTCTCTGGTCTCTCGCTGGTCTCTTGCTGGTCTCTCTCTCTGGTCTCTCTCTGGTCTCTGTCTGGTCTCTCTCTGGTCTCTGTCTGGTCTCTCTCTTGTCTCTCTCTGGTCTCTCTGGTCTCTCGCTGGTCTCTCTCTGGTCTCTCTCTGGTCTCTCTCTGGTCTCTCTCTGGTCTCTCTCACAGACCTAGAGTTGTGATAAGATCCATCCATGCTAATATGTCCCCAACCCATCTGTTTAACTGCTACTTTGTCAAACTTTGAAGATAAGTTAAGAGACGAGTCAATAGGACCCAGACTTTGTCTATGAGCACTTCCCTTTGTGCTCCCTTGAGCTAGCGGGTTAGCATTGTCTATCTGTGTACAGTCTCTGGTTCTCCTCTCTCCCTTAAACCCCGTGAAGCTCTTTCCTCTGCGGGCTCCACAGGTGGCGGGATGCGGGACGGATCTGTTGCCACAGCAACGCTCCAGGCCTGGTAACCGTGGGTAACGGAGGATGCTGGGCGCTCCAGGAGAAACAGGAGGTGACTGTTTGTCTATGAGCCATGGAGAGAGACCAGAGAGAGACCAGAGAGAGACCAGAGAAAGACCAGAAAGAGACCTGAGAGAGACCTGAGAGAGACCAGAGAGAGACCAGAGAGAGACCAGAGAGAGACCAGAGAGAGAGACCAGAGAGAGACCAGAGAGAGACCAGAGAGAGACCAGAGACCAGAGAGAGACCAGAGAGAGAGACCAGAGAGGGACCAGAGAGAGACCAGAGAGAGACCAGAGAGAGACCAGAGAGAGACCAGAGAGAGACCAGAGAGAGACCAGAGAGGGACTAGAGAGAGAGACCAGAGAGAGACCAGAGTGAGACCAGAGGGAGACCAGAGAGAGACCAGAGAGAGACCAGAGAGGGACCAGAGAGAGAGACCAGAGAGAGACCAGAGACTAGAGATAGACCAGAGAGAGAGACCAGAGAGACCAGAGAGAGACCAGAGAGAGACCAGAGAGAGACCAGAGAGAGAGACCAGAGAGAGAGACCAGAGAGAGAGACCAGAGAGAGACCAGAGAGAGACCAGAGAGAGAGACCAGAGAGAGACCAGAGAGAGACCAGAGAGACCAGAGAGAGACCAGAGAGAGACCAGAGAGACCAGAGAGAGACCAGAGAGAGACCAGAGAGAGACCAGAGAGAGAGACCAGAGAGAGAGACCAGAGAGAGAGACCAGAGAGAGACCAGAGAGAGACCAGAGAGAGAGACCAGAGAGAGACCAGAGAGAGACCAGAGAGAGACCAGAGACCAGAGAGAGACCAGAGAGAGAGACCAGAGAGGGACCAGAGAGAGACCAGAGAGAGACCAGAGAGAGACCAGAGAGACCAGAGAGAGACCAGAGAGAGACCAGAGAGGGACTAGAGAGAGAGACCAGAGAGAGACCAGAGTGAGACCAGAGGGAGACCAGAGAGAGACCAGAGACCAGAGAGAGACCAGAGAGGGACCAGAGAGAGAGACCAGAGAGAGACCAGAGACTAGATATAGACCAGAGAGAGAGACCAGAGAGAGAGACCAGAGAGAGAGACCAGAGAGAGAGACCAGAGAGAGACCAGAGAGAGACCAGAGAGAGAGACCAGAGAGAGACAGAGGGAGAGAGACCAGAGAGAGACCAGAGAGACCAGAGAGAGACCAGAGAGAGACCAGAGAGACCAGAGAGAGACCAGAGGGAGAGAGACCAGACCCATCACTTAAGCCCCCCCCCCCCCCCCCCCCTGTCTGTATGAGAATGTGTGGACCCTCTCCCCCTCATGCATAATTCAGCAGCTCGGCCCTAATCCTCCTTTGTGCCGCGCAGGAGGAGACGGGGGGAGGAGGAGGAGGGAGGAGGGGGAGGGACGAGGAGGGGAGAGGAGGGAGGGAGGAGGAGGAGGGAGGAGGCTTTTACACCAAATACAACTCACTTCTCACTTGTCTCAACTCAAAGTATTTGTGTCTTAGCATAAATCACAGAGAGACCAGAGAGAGACCAGAGAGAGACCAGAGAGAGAGACCAGAGAGAGACCAGAGAGAGACCAGAGAGAGACCAGAGAGAGACCAGAGAGAGACCAGTGAGACCAGAGAGAGACCAGAGAGAGACCAGAGAGAGAGACCAGAGAGAGACCAGAGAGACCAGAGAGAGATCAGAGAGAGACCAGAGAGAGAGACCAGAGAGAGAGACCAGAGAGAGACCAGAGAGAGACCAGAGAGAGACCAGAGAGAGAGACCAGAGAGAGACCAGTGAGACCAGAGAGAGACCAGAGAGAGACCAGAGAGAGACCAGAGAGAGAGACCAGAGAGAGACCAGAGAGAGACTAGAGAGAGACCAGAGAGAGACCAGAGAGAGAGACCAGAGAGAGAGACCAGAGAGAGACCAGAGAGAGACCAGAGAGAGACCAGAGAGACCAGAGAGAGACCAGAGAGAGACCAGAGAGAGACCAGAGAGAGACCAGAGAGACCAGAGAGAGACCGAGAGAGAGACCAGAGAGAGACCAGAGAGAGAGACCAGAGAGAGAGACCAGAGAGAGACCAGAGAGAGACCAGAGAGAGACCAGAGAGAGACCACAGAGAGACCACAGAGAGACCAGAGAGAGACCAGAGAGAGAGACCAGAGAGGGACCAGAGAGAGACCAGAGAGACTAGAGAGAGACCAGAGAGAGACCAGATAGAGACCAGAGAAAGACCAGAGAGACCAGAGAGAGAGACCAGAGAGAGACCAGAGAGACTAGAGAGAGACCAGAGAGAGACCAGTGCAAACAGGAACCATTGGTCCTGTTGTCCTGGTCCCAGGGGGGAAGGGCCTGGAGGTGGCACCATTACACAGATGCTAATGATGTTTGAACTGTTCACATTAGTCAACTTTCTCTGTCACTTCATTCACTGATTTTTAGACCTGGTTTAGACCTGGTTTAGACCTGCTTTAGTCCTGCTTTAGTCCAGTCCTGCTTTAGACCTGCTTGAGCCTGGTTAGTCCTTTGATGGGAGACCTCTGGGTACAGCAGGTGTGTGTGTGTGTGCGTGTGTCTGTGTGTGTGTGTGTGTGTGTGTGTGTGTGTGTGTGTGTGTGTGTGTGTGTGTGTGTGTGTGTGTGTGTGTGTGTGTGTGTGTGTTGTGTGTGTGTGTGTGTGTGTGTGTGTGTCTGTGTGTGTGTGTGTGTCTGTGCACTTGTTTTCAACTCCTGGTGGGGTCCATAACCTGAGATTCCACTCAAGTCATGGGGACTGGTTTTACGTGGTGGGGCCCGAACACCGGACCCCACTGGTCCAAGCTTAATAATCAATGGGTAATGCTTTTCTAACGGTCCTTATGCAGTCTCTGTAAAAATATGGAAAGGACCCCTGGAGGTTTACTTTCCTGAAAAAAGTGTGTTATGTGTCGGAACCCTGGTGGTGGGTTGCGGGATATCAGGGAGGGGCACACTGGGGCAATTTCAGTCCAGCAGGCTGGAGCCAATCATGGAGCAGCACAACAGAGGCTGGAGCCAATCATGGAGCAGCACAACAGAGGAAGTCAGGTGTCAGGCTAGAAAAGGTGCAAGTGTGTGGTTCATTAGGCTGCAGCCAATCAGAGAGCAGCACACTGAAGCGCACGCTTACAAACCACTGGTAAGTGCTGACTACAAGTCATGACTTCAAATTGTTATATAGAATGATTACTAATTATTTGTTGTTTGTGCAGCTTAGTCAAGAGTCCCTAATTGATGAAGTCGACTCAGATTCTGACGATTTAACTGTCAAGAGGAAACCTGTAAAAAAGTATGGAAAAAGAAAAATCAAAAACACTTTTCTTCAAGACTCGGAAAGTGACGAACCAAAGGCAAATAAGATTGTTATCATGCAGCTGCAAAAGAAGAAAAATGGGGGGAGAGTTTACAGCAAGAGGCACTTCTGCCTCTACTGTTCAATGTCTTGCCACAAAATGTCCCGTCATTTGACTAGAAAACATGGAAATGAAAGTGACGTAGCCAGAGCATTGGCTCTACCTGTGAAATCTAAAGCCTAGCGTCCATCGGACTGGCAACTTCTTTATCTGTGGCGTGTGCAGTTGTGACAACTGCTCATATCAAGTGGGGAACTTATGGAGTCTCTATTTTGCTAACATTTATTTCACTAACGGGTGTTGGTTTGTAGGAAAATGCCTGATAAGCAACGGAAGAAATGCGTTAGCATTAGCATTAGCATTAGCCTGTGTACAATCTGCCCCGGCTCAGTCTTTACTCCCTGACTGTCATAGAAACACTGCAGTATTTTGTGTGGTATACGGTTTTAGTAACCAAGGTAACAGAGAGAAATAACTGAAATAACATTTTTAAATTATAAAAAAAAGCCTGCTTTTAGTTTAGTCTGGGACTGTGAGGACTTTTCCCTGAACCGGTGACCAGAGAGAGACCAGAGGGAGGGACCAGCGAGAGAGACCAGAGAGAGAGACCAGAGAGAGACCAGAGGGAGGGACCAGAGAGAGAGACCAGAGAGAGAGACCAGAGAGAGAGACCAGAGAGAGAGACCAGAGAGAGAGACCAGAGAGAGAGACCAGAGAGAGAGAGACCAGAGAGAGAGACAGAGAGAGACCAGAGAGAGAGACCAGAGAGAGAGACCAGAGAGAGAGACCAGAGAGAGACCAGAGAGAGAGACCAGAGAGAGAGAGACCAGAGAGAGAGACCAGAGGGAGACCAGAGAGAGAGAGACCAGAGAGAGACCAGAGGGAGAGACCAGAGGGAGAGACCAGAGGGAGACCAGAGAGAGAGACCAGAGAGAGAGACCAGAGAGAGAGACCAGAGGGAGACCAGAGAGAGAGAGACCAGAGAGAGACCAGAGGGAGAGACCAGAGGGAGAACAGAGAGAGAGACCAGAGAGAGAGAGACCAGAGAGAGAGACCAGAGAGAGAGAGACCAGAGGGAGAGACCAGAGAGAGAGAGACCAGAGGGAGAGACCAAAGAGAGACCAGAGGGAGAGACCAGAGGGAGAGAGACCAGAGGGAGAGAGACCAGAGAGAGAGAGACCAGAGGGAGAGACCAGAGAGAGAGAACAGAGAGAGTGACCAGAGAGAGAGACCAGAGAGAGAGAGACCAGAGAGAAACCTGAGAGAGAGAGACCAGAGAGAGACCAGAGTGAATAGACTGAAGCTAACACATTACACACATAGAATATTTGCAGAATTATATTTTGTAAAAACACATCCATCAACATGAGGTTTCTCTGGTCTCTCTCTGGTCTCTGTCTCTGTCGACACCATGATGGAGCAGCTGCTACTTGGTCTCCAGCGGTGCTCCTGAGAAGACATTTAAAACAGACTTTTAATCTGTTCTGTACTATAGCCCTGTTTCCACCAGCTCTGCTTCATACTCTCTCTGGTCTCTCTCTGGTCTCTCTCTGGTCTCTCTCTGGTCTCTCTCTGGTCTATCTCTCTGGTCTCTCTCTGGTCTATCTCTGGTCTATCTCTGGTCTCTCTGGTCTCTCTCTGGTCTCCCTCTGGTCTCTCTCTGGTCTCTCTCCTGTCTCTCTCTGGTCTCTCTCTGGTCTTTCTCTAGTCTCTCTCTGGTCTCTCTCTGGTCCCTCTCTGGTCTCTCTGTGATCTCTCTCTGGTCTCTCTCTGGTCTCTCTGGTCTCTCTCTGGTCTCTTTCTGGTCTCTCTGGTCTCTCTCTGGTCTCTCTGGTCTCTCTCTGGTTTCTCTCTGGTCTCTCTCTGGTCTCTCTCTGGTCTCTCTCTGGTCTCTCTCTGGTCTCTCTCTGGTCTCTCTGTGGTCTCTCTGGTCTCTCTCTGGTCTTCCTCTGGTCTCTCTCTGGTCTCTCTGTGATCTCTCTGTGATCTCTCTCTGGTCTCTCTCTGGTCTCTCTCTGGTCTCTCTCTGGTCTCTCTGGTCTCTCTCTGGTCTCCCTCTGGTCTCTCTCTGGTCTCTCTCCTGTCTCTCTCTGGTCTCTCTCTGGTCTTTCTCTAGTCTCTCTCTGGTCTCTCTCTGGTCCCTCTCTGGTCTCTCTCTCTGGTCTCTCTCTGGTCTCTCTGGTCTCTCTGTGGTCTCTCTGGTCTCTCTCTGGTCTTCCTCTGGTCTCTCTCTGGTCTCTCTGTGATCTCTCTGTGATCTCTCTCTGGTCTCTCTCTGGTCTCTCTCTGGTCTCTCTCTGGTCTCTCTCTGGTCTCTCTCTGGTCTCTCTCTGGTCTCTCTCTGGTTCTCTCTCTCTGGTCTCTCTCTCTCTGGTCTCTTTCTCTGGTCTCTCTGGTTCTCTGGTCTCTCTCTGGTTTCTCTCTGGTCTCTCTCTGGTCTTTCTCTGGTCTCTCTGGTCTCTCTCTGGTCTCTCTCTGGTCTCTCTGGTCTCTCTCTGGTCTAACTCTCTGGTCTCTCTCTCTGGTCTCTCTCTGGTCTAACTCTCTGGTCTCTCTCTCTGGTCTCTCTCTGGTCTCTCTCTCTGGTCTCTCTCTGGTCTAACTCTCTGGTCTCTCTCTCTGGTCTCTCTCTGGTCTAACTCTCTGGTCTCTCTCTCTGGTCTCTCTCTGGTACCTTCTGGCTGGATGCCGTAGACCTCCACCTCACAGAGGGTCAGGTACTTGTTGGTTCCAGGGAGAAACACGTTGACGTAGCGACCCTCGACAGGATTCGGCAGAGAGTAGGTCTGAGTCGTTCCCCCTGGTATGTGAGCTATGGTCTGCACTCTGAAATACAAAGGACCATGTGAGAGAGACCAGAGAGAGACCAGGGAGAGACCAGAGAGAGACCAGAGAGAGACCAGGGAGAGACCAGAGAGAGACCAGAGAGAGACCAGAGAGAGACCAGAGAGAGAGACCAGAGAGAGACCAGAGAGTAGACCAGAGAGAGACCAGAGAGAGAGACCAGAGAGAGACCAGAGAGAGACCAGAGAGAGACCAGAGAGAGAGACCAGAGAGAGACCAGAGAGAGACCAGAGAGAGACCAGAGAGTAGACCAGAGAGAGACCAGAGAGAGACCAGAGAGAGAGACCAGAGAGAGACCAGAGAGAGAGACCAGAGAGAGACCAGAGAGAGACCAGAGAGAGACCAGAGAGAGAGAGAGAGAGAGAGACCAGAGAGAGACCAGAGAGAGAGACCAGAGAGAGACCAGAGAGAGACCAGAGAGAGACCAGAGAGAGACCAGAGAGAGACCAGAGAGAGACCAGAGAGAGACCAGAGAGAGACCAGAGAGAGACCAGAGAGAGAGACCAGAGAGAGACCAGAGAGAGACCAGAGAGAGAGACCAGAGAGAGACCAGAGAGAGAGACCAGAGAGAGACCAGAGAGGAGACCAGAGAGAGACCAGAGAGAGAGACCAGAGAGAGACCAGAGAGAGACCAGAGAGAGAGACCAGAGAGAGACCAGAGAGAGACCAGAGAGAGACCAGAGAGAGACCAGAGAGAGACCAGAGAGAGACCAGAGAGAGACCAGAGAGAGACCAGAGAGAGAGACCAGAGAGAGAGACCAGAGAGAGACCAGAGAGAGACCAGAGAGAGAGACCAGAGAGAGACCAGAGAGAGACCAGAGAGAGACCAGAGAGAGACCAGAGAGAGACCAGAGAGAGACCAGAGAGAGAGAGACCAGAGAGAGACCAGAGAGAGACCAGAGAGAGACCAGAGAGAGAGACCAGAGAGAGACCAGAGAGAGACCAGAGAGAGACCAGAGAGAGAGACCAGAGAGACCAGAGAGAGACCAGAGAGAGAGACCAGAGAGAGACCAGAGAGAGAGACCAGAGAGAGACCCAGAGAGAGACCAGAGAGAGACCAGAGAGAGACCAGAGAGAGAGACCAGAGAGAGACCAGAGAGAGACCAGAGAGAGAGACCAGAGAGAGACCAGAGAGAGAGACAGAGAGAGAGACCAGAGAGAGACCAGAGAGAGAGACCAGAGAGAGAGACCAGAGAGAGAGACCAGAGAGAGACCAGAGAGAGAGACCAGAGAGAGAGACCAGAGAGAGAGAGACGAGAGAGAGACCAGAGAGAGACCAGAGAGAGAGACCAGAGAGAGACCAGAGAGAGACCAGAGAGAGAGACCAGAGAGAGACCAGAGAGAGACCAGAGAGAGACCAGAGAGAGACCAGAGAGAGAGACCAGAGAGAGACCAGAGAGAGACCCAGAGAGAGACCAGAGAGAGACCAGGAGAGACCAGAGAGAGACCAGAGAGAGACCAGAGAGAGACCAGAGAGAGACCAGAGAGAGAGACCAGAGAGAGACCAGAGAGAGACCAGAGAGAGAGAGACCAGAGAGAGACCAGAGAGAGACCAGAGAGAGACAGAGGAGAGACCAGAGAGAGACCAGAGAGAGACCAGAGAGAGACCAGAGAGAGACCAGAGAGAGACCAGAGAGAGACCAGAGAGAGAGACCAGAGAGAGACCAGAGAGAGACCAGAGAGAGAGACCAGAGAGAGACCAGAGAGAGACCAGAGAGAGACCAGAGAGAGACCAGAGAGAGACCAGAGAGAGACCAGAGAGAGACCAGAGAGAGACCAGAGAGAGAGACCAGAGAGAGACCAGAGAGAGACCAGAGAGAGACCAGAGAGAGACCAGAGAGAGACCAGAGAGAGACCAGAGAGAGACCAGAGAGAGACCAGAGAGAGACCAGAGAGAGACCAGAGAGAGACCAGAGAGAGACCAGAGAGAGAGAGACCAGAGAGAGACCAGAGAGAGACCAGAGAGAGACCAGAGAGAGACCAGAGAGAGACCAGAGAGAGACCAGAGAGAGAGACCAGAGAGAGACCAGAGAGAGAGACCAGAGAGAGAGACCAGAGAGAGAGACCAGAGAGAGACCAGAGAGAGAGACCAGAGAGAGAGACCAGAGAGAGAGACCAGAGAGAGACCAGAGAGAGAGACCAGAGAGAGAGACCAGAGAGAGAGACGAGAGAGAGACCAGAGAGAGACCAGAGAGAGAGACCAGAGAGAGACCAGAGAGAGACCAGAGAGAGAGACCAGAGAGAGACCAGGGAGAGACCAGAGAGAGAGAGAGACCAGAGAGAGAGACCAGGGAGAGACCAGAGAGAGACCAGAGAGAGACCAGGGAGAGACCAGAGATTTAGACCAGAGAGAGACCAGAGAGAGACCAGAGAGTTAGACCAGAGAGAGAGACCAGAGAGAGACCAGAGAGAGACCAGAGAGAGAGACCAGAGAGAGACCAGGGAGAGACCAGAGAGAGACCAGAGAGAGACCAGGGAGAGACCAGAGATTTAGACCAGAGAGAGACCAGAGAGAGACCAGAGAGTTAGACCAGAGAGTTAGACCAGAGAGAGAGACCAGAGAGAGACCAGAGAGAGACCAGGGAGAGACCAGAGAGTTAGACCAGAGAGACCAGAGAGTTAGACCAGAGAGAGAGACCAGAGAGAGACCAGAGAGAGAGACCAGAGAGAGACCCCAGAGAGAGACCAGAGAGAGACCAGAGAGAGAGACCAGAGAGAGACCAGAGAGAGAGACGAGAGAGAGACCAGAGAGAGAGACCAGAGAGAGACCAGAGAGAGAGACGAGAGAGAGACCAGAGAGAGAGACCAGAGAGAGACCAGAGAGGGGATTGAATCTGTACCATAGACTGTATATATTAATGGACAGAGTCAGTATCTCCGCTGTTCAAACTAATGTGCCCAAAATGTGCTCTACTGGAGCTATCCAAAATGGCCGCGAGTGGTCCCGCCCACAAGAAAAATTGTGAAAAAACACATCTGTGCATGCGTCAGCTGCGAGAGCTCCATTCATTTGAACGAGAGACTTCTAAAGTCCACAGCGACTAAACTAGACTGGTCCAGAACACTCAGCATTGACACACATGTGGACCGGAGCTTTGGGCCAAGAGACACTTTTGGACCATCCTGTAAAGACGTTTTCCAGAGGTCAGAAGATGCTATATGTTAGCATTGGCTAATTCTTCTTCTGGGTCCACCCCCACAGGCCCGGGGTGGTACTGCAGCATGTCAGCGCACGTCATTTTGGACACTTTTGAGCTGGGACCCTCCCCCACCGGTCTGTACTCTTGTTTGTCTTTATCTCGTTCTGTTCCTCTCTGTGCCATGTGTATGGACTGTGCTATACCGTACTACAGTCAGGGTTAGCAGCATGGAGTTAGCCTGGTTAGCATGGAGCTTGCCTGGTTAGCATTGAACTAGCTTGTTTAGCATTGAGCTAGCCTGGTTAGCATTGAACTAGCTTGTTTAGCATTCAGCTAGCCTGGTTAGCATTGAGCTAGCCTGGTTAGCATGGAGCTAGCCTGGTTAGAATGGAGCTAGCCTGTTTAGCATTGAGCTAGCCTGGTTAGCATGGAGCTAGCGGGAGACTCACAGATGGTTGCTGTTGCCGTTGTTGTCCAGAGAGTTCCCCACGCGGATCTGGGCCCCGTCCAGCCGCTCGGCGCAGCAGTCTCCTCTGTTGGTGACGCTGATGGAGGTGACCCAGCAGGCCTCCCCCAGGTCCACCCTCCACCAGGGGTCAGAGGTCGTGTACGTGTGTGTGCAGGAGTTCATAGAGTAGATAGATTCCCGCTTCCCGTCGATGGCGTTGGAGGCAGCTCCCAGTTCGTTGTACGTGTCGATCTGCGTCGCTTGTCCATTTAAAGCTAAGTTTGCTGAAACACAAAACTGCTTTGTATCAGATCATTGGGGGTTAGCATGTGTAGCAGAGGTTAGCATGTGTAGCAGAGGTTAGCATGTGTAGCAGAGGTTAGCATGTGTAGCAGAGGTTAGCATGTGTAGCAGAGGTTAGCATGTGTAGCAGAGGTTAGCATGTGTAGCAGAGGTTAGCACGTGTAGCAGAGGTTAGCATGTATAGCAGAGGTTAGCATGTGTAGCAGAGGTTAGCATGTGTAGCAGAGGTTAGCACGTGTAGCAGAGGTTAGCATGTGTAGCAGAGGTTAGCACGTGTAGCAGAGGTTAGCATGTGTAGCAGAGGTTAGCATGTGTAGCAGAGGTTAGCATGTGTAGCAGAGGTTAGCATGTGTAGCAGAGGTTAGCACGTGTAGCAGAGGTTAGCATGTGTAGCAGAGGTTAGCACGTGTAGCAGAGGTTAGCATGTGTAGCAGAGGTTAGCACGTGTAGCAGAGGTTAGCATGTGTAGCAGAGGTTAGCATGTGTAGCAGAGGTTAGCATGTGTAGCAGAGGTTAGCACGTGTAGCAGAGGTTAGCATGTATAGCAGAGGTTAGCATGTGTAGCAGAGGTTAGCATGTGTAGCAGAGGTTAGCACGTGTAGCAGAGGTTAGCACGTGAAGCAAAGGTTAGCATGTGTAACAGAGGTTAGCATGTGTAGCAGAGGTTAGCATGTGTAGCAGAGGTTAGCATGTGTAACAGAGGTTAGCATGTGTAGCAGAGGTTAGCATGTGTAGCAGAGGTTAGCATGTGTAGCAAAGGTTAGCATGTATAGCAGAGTTTAGCATGTGTAGCAGATGTTAGCACGTGTGGCAGACGTTAGCATGTGTTGCAGAGGTTTGTGTCTGTAGCAGAGCTTAGCACGTGTAGCAGAGGTTAGCTTGTGTAGCAGAGGTTAGCTTGTGTAGCAGAGGTTAGCATGTGTAGCAGAGGTTAGCATGTGTAGTGTCTGTAGCAGAGGTTAGCATGTGTAGCAGAGGTTAGTGTCTGTAGCAGAAGTTAGCATGTGTAGTAGAGGTTAGCATGTGTAGCAGAGGTTAGCATGTGTAGCAGAGGTTAGCATGTGTAGCAGAGGTTAGCATGTGTAGTAGAGGTTAGCATGTGTAGTAGAGGTTAGCATGTGTAGCAGAGGTTAGCATGTGTAGCAGAGGTTAGCATGTGTAGCAGAGGTTAGCACGTGTAGCAGAGGTTAGCATGTGTAGCAGAGGTTAGCACGTGTAGCAGAGGTTAGCATGTGTAGCAGAGGTTAGCACGTGTAGTAGAGGTTAGCATGTGTAGCAGAGGTTAGCACGTGTAGCAGAGGTTAGTGTCTGTAGCAGAAGTTAGCATGTGTAGCAGAGGTTAGCATGTGTAGCAGAGGTTAGCACGTGTAGCAGAGGTTAGCATGTGTAGCAGAGGTTAGCACGTGTAGCAGAGGTTAGCATGTGTAGCAGAGGTTAGCACGTGTAGCAGAGGTTAGCATGTGTAGCAGAAGTTAGCATGTGTAGCAGAGGTTAGCATGTGTAGCAGAGGTTAGCATGTGTAGCACAGGTTATCATGTGTAGCAGAGGTTAGCATGTGTAGCAGAGGTTAGCATGTGTAGCAGAGGTTAGCATGTGTAGCAGAGGTTAGCACGTGTAGCAGAGGTTAGCATGTGTAGCAGAGGTTAGCATGTGTAGCAGAGGTTAGCATGTGTAGCAGAGGTTAGCACGTGTAGCAGAGGTTAGCATGTGTAGCAGAGGTTAGCACGTGTAGCAGAGGTTAGCATGTGTAGCAGAGGTTAGCACGTGTAGTAGAGGTTAGCATGTGTAGCAGAGGTTAGCATGTGTAGCAGAGGTTAGTGTCTGTAGCAGAAGTTAGCATGTGTAGCAGAGGTTAGCATGTGTAGCAGAGGTTAGCACGTGTAGCAGAGGTTAGCATGTGTAGCAGAGGTTAGCACGTGTAGCAGAGGTTAGCATGTGTAGCAGACGTTAGCATGTGTAGCAGAGGTTAGCATGTGTAGCAGAGGTTAGCATGTGTAGCAGAGGTTAGCATGTGTAGCAGAGGTTAGCATGTGTAGCACAGGTTATCATGTGTAGCAGAGGTTAGCATGTGTAGCAGAGGTTAGCATGTGTAGCAGAGGTTAGCATGTGTAGCAGAGGTTAGCACGTGTAGCAGAGGTTAGCATGTGTAGCAGAGGTTAGCATGTGTAGCAGAGGTTAGCACGTGTAGCAGAGGTTAGCATGTGTAGCAGAGGTTAGCATGTGTAGCAGAGGTTAGCACGTGTAGCAGAGGTTAGCATGTGTAGCAGAGGTTAGCATGTGTAGCAGAGGTTAGCATGTGTAGCAGAGGTTAGCATGTGTAGCAGAGGTTAGCATGTGTAGCAGAGGTTAGCACGTGTAGCAGAGGTTAGCATGTGTAGCAGAGGTTAGCACGTGTAGCAGAGGTTAGCATGTGTAGCAGAGGTTAGCATGTGTAGCAGAGGTTAGCACGTGTAGCAGAGGTTAGCATGTGTAGCAGAGGTTAGCATGTGTAGCAGAGGTTAGCATGTGTAGCAGAGGTTAGCATGTGTAGCAGAGGTTAGCATGTGTAGCAGAGGTTAGCATGTGTAGCAGAAGTTAGCATGTGTAGCAGAGGTTAGCATGTGTAGCAGAGGTTAGCATGTGTAGCAGAAGTTAGCATGTGTAGCAGAGGTTAGCATGTGTAGCAGAGGTTAGCATGTGTAGCAGAGGTTAGCATGTGTAGCAGAGGTTAGCATGTGTAGCACAGGTTATCATGTGTAGCAGAGGTTAGCATGTGTAACAGAGGTTAGCATGTGTAGCAGAGGTGAGTGTCTGTAGCAGAGCTTGGAATGTGGTCAGCGCGCGGTTAGCATGTAGTTAGCATGTGGTTGGTACCTTGTCCTGGATCCTCTCCTTTGTTCCCGTAGACCTCCACCTCACAGAGGGTCAGGTACTTGTTGGTTCCAGGGAGAAACACGTTGACGTAGCGACCCTGAACTGGTTCAGTGAAGCTAAAGTTCTCAGTTTGTCCTTGTGCGATGCTGATGATCGTAGCCACTCTGAAAAACACACACCACCGATTTGGACTCACTACTGCCATCAGAGGGAGCAGCGCCTGCGAGCTAACCCGGTTAGCATTGAGCTAGCCTGGTTAGCATGGAGCTAGCCTGTTTAGCATTGAGCTAACCCGGTTAGCATTGAGCTAGCCTGGTTAGCATGGAGCTAGCCTGTTTAGCATTGAGCTAGCCTGGTTGGCATGGAGCTAGCCTGGTTAGCATGGAGCTAGCCTGTTTAGCATTGAGCTAGCCTGGTTGGCATGGAGCTAGCCTGGTTAGCATGGAGCTAGCCTGTTTAGCATTGAGCTAGTGATAGTGGAGTTGTTGGATTTTCATTAAAGTGAATGAATATATTCAAAGTTTAGACAGCTTTGGGTTAACCTACTGTGTGATGGGATGTGATGGCAGCATTCTCCCATCCCCCAGTCATGAGTGAAAGACTAGTCTAAATAAGCAGGAAGCCGAAAACATCTGTTTTCAGTAGATCTCATGTTTATCTAGAGCAGCCATTCCCAAACTCAGTAACACCGAGGCCCCCTTAAAAATCTGACGGGTCTGCGTGGCCCCCCAAAATAATAACCAAGAAGACAACATTAAGAATAGGCTCTTCTGGTTATTTTATTTTGGGGAAATAGCCTCTGCTACAAACATTGTAATACAAAAATGATTACAGTGGATTATTCAAGTCAAATAATGAACACAAATATTTTAATATTACAAACAAAACATTATAAATTTAACATTAAATAATTATATTATTTTTTTTATTTTTTTTTTTGACCTCCCGCGGCCCCCCTGCAGTACCCTCGCGGCCCACCAGGGGGCCGCGGACCCCACTTTGGGAGACACTGATCTAGAGCAGTGTCTCCCAAAGTGGGGTCCGCGGCCCCCTGGTGGGCCGCGAGGGTACTGCAGGGGGGCCGCGGGAGGTCATAAAAAAAATAAAAAAAATAATATAATTATTTAATGTTAAATTTATAATGTTTTGTTTGTAATATTAAAATATTTGTGTTCATTATTTGACTTGAATAATCCACTGTAATCATTTTTGTATTACAATGTTTGTAGCAGAGGCTATTTCCCCAAAATAAAATAACCAGAAGAGCCTATTCTTAATGTTGTCTTCTTGGTTATTATTTTGGGGGGCCACGCAGACCCGTCAGATTTTTAAGGGGGCCTCGGTGTTACTGAGTTTGGGAATGGCTGATCTAGAGGGAAGCCACGTCTTCTCTGAGGGAGAGGAAGGTGGGACATATTGTTGCATGTATTTCAAATTATCATGGTATAAGACCAGAGCTCTTTGTCCATTCTTTGTCACTCTGCTGCTACATCTAGCTGACCCAGACTGGTGCAGTCTGTAACATGTCTGTGTGTGCTTATGTCCAGATAACCTGTAGTTTTGAACCAGGGGCTGACAACATGTATTAAAGAGATTATGTTGTTGAAATGTGACTAATTTTTCACAGCTAGCCTGTTTAGCATTGAGCTAGCCTGGTTAGCATGGAGCTAGCGGGAGACTCACAGATGGTTGCTGTTGCCGTTGTTGTCCAGAGAGTTCCCCACGCGGATCTGGGCCCCGTCCAGTCGCTCGGCGCAGCAGTCTCCTCTGTTGGTGACGCTGATGGAGGTGACCCAGCAGGCCTCCCCCAGGTCCACCCTCCACCAGGGATCAGAGGTCGTGTACGTGTGTGTGCAGGAGTTCAGATAGTAGATAGATTCCCGCTTCCCGTCGATGGCGTTGGAGGCAGCTCCCAGTTCGTTGTACGTGTCGATCTGCGTGGCATTTCCTCCCAGAGCCAAATTCTCTGGAACCACAAAAACAGAGTGAAGCAGAACTGTCCTGAACCGGCGTGTCCTGTGCCTTTGTCTTGCACTCTGACCTCGGGCAGACACGGCTCCCACAGAGAGACACAGCAGGACGGCCAGGCTCACCAGGCTCATCTTCTGTCCTAACAGGAAACACACATCAGTACTTTCTATGAATCCACTGCTCACTTTTAAACACAATCATCTGCTCAGAATAATAACAATAGATGTGTAAAGTCACAGCTGCCCTGGGGCACACTGACAGAAGCGAGGCAGCCAGTCTGTGCCATCGGCCCCTCCCACCACCACCAACCATTCACACACACACCAGACTCATTCTAATGTGGGGGAAGTGTCTTGCCAAAGGGCACAACCACAGTTTGGCACTTTACAGCCACAGCCGCCCCACTGTGGCACTTGCTGTTCTCACAGGTCTCCCATCGCAATACTAACCAGGCCCTGCCCTGCTTAGCTTCATGGGTCTGACAGGATCACAATAGGCGTATGGTAACTCTGGTTCAGGTCGGGACCAAAGAAACTCTCCTTAGTTGAGGCTACTATAACAAAGGAGTATTATTGGGAACAGAAGAGAAAGGATCGGCACGAGCCTGAGGGCAATCATATGTACCGCAGTACTGGGGTGTCGACATCAGGTAAGTAAGCATCAGGTAAGTATCAGGTAAGTGTCAGGTAAGTAGGCATCAGGTAAGTAAGTATCAGGTGCAGTAAGTATCAGGTAAGTATCAGGTAAGTAGGCATCAGGTAAGTATCAGGTGCAGTAAGTATCAGGTAAGTATCAGGTAAGTAGGCATCAGGTAAGTATCAGGTGCAGTAAGTATCAGGTAAGTAGGTATCAGGTGCAGTAAGTATCAGGTAAGTATCAGGTGCAGTAAGTATCAGGTAAGTATCAGGTGCAGTAAGTATCAGGTAAGTATCAGGTGCAGTAAGTATCAGGTAAGTATCAGGTAAGTAGGTATCAGATAGCGGTTAGCGTACAGCACTGGCTGTTTGGGATGGTCAGGGTCAGAGGTGGTTGACAAATGACCACAGGAGTCCTCAGAGGGGGATCTTTTTGCACTTCCTGCTCTTGTGCGGTTGCTCTCCCTTGCTACTCCCGCTTGCTGCTTTTTAATCTCCTTTAATCATTTTTATTTACATTTTTATTCTACAAAACACAGATTAGTCCTTTTTACATACTTCAACACAAGACTTGTTGAATTTACCAACTTACAGCATGTCGGGAGGACGGAAAAAAGGAGAAAGCTTTGCGACGGCTGTTTTTCACTCAAACAGGAGTTAAAACTTATTCAAGACCGAATGCTTGTCCTTGAATCAGAAATGGGGCTTCACACCACGTTACCAATGAAGGGAAATGGACCTTGGCCAAAAGGGAAATGGACCTTGGCCCAGCCCAAACAAGGCAAAGCTAATGACAACAAGAGTGTAATAATGCCACAGCAAAAAAAACCTTTAGATTCAAGAGATCGCTTTACACCACTTTTGGAAACAGAAACAGCGGGTCAGTGTCTGTCTCAGTCTCAGTCAAGGTCAAATGCTGCTGAGACATTCTTTATCGGGGATGGGGCTATCAAGAATGTAAACATACGTGGTGTGAAAACAATGGGCCTCATTCACGAACGGTTCTTAGGAACAGATTTGTACGTAAATCCTACTTACGAGGTTTTTACGAAGAAAGTGGCATTCACGAATTTTTCTCGTAACCAGAATTTCTCTTGGGCAAGTACAAATCCTACGAGTCCTCAGGAGCACTCGTACGCATTCAGTGCCGACATGTTCACACGCCGGGGTTGTCCTCTTTGGTGAAGTTTAATCAAAATACAACATTCCAGTGATATGTCCGTCATATCGATGTATGTATTTATTTATTTGTAGTAATCTTTATTAGTAATCTTTATTTATATACCGCCTTTTTCACTGCAGATCTGGCCTACTTTTTAATTCATTTTGAAATGAAATGTGCCAACGCTTCATCAAATACATTGGAAATCTTGCCGTGTATTAGTGACCCCTTCCTATTTATAGGGGGCATTTCTTTATCCACGGGCCACAGAACAGCGGCATATATACTGCTGCTGCAGGAGGTTACTGGGTCCGTGCTGAGTCTCTGCACTGGTCTCTCCTATGGATCTATACGGGTCTGCACTGGTCTCTCCCATGGATCTATACGGGTCTGCACTGGTCTCTCCCATGGATCTATACGGGTCTGCACTGGTCTCTCCCATGGATCTATACGGGTCTGCACTGGTCTCTCCCATGGATCTATACGGGTCTGCACTGGTCTCTCCCATGGATCTATACGGGTCTGCACTGGTCTCTCCCATGGATCTATACGGGTCTGCACTGGTCTCTCCCATGGATCTATACGGGTCTGCACTGGTCTCTCCCATGGATCTATACGGGTCTGCACTGGTCTCTCCCATGGCTCTAGACGGGTCTGCACTGGTCTCTCCATACGGGTCCGTGCTGCATGCTCCTGGATCCATACGGGTCCGCGCTGGTCTCTCAAGTCTGGTCTATGCGGTCTCTCTTCGGTCCGCGCTGGTCTCTGCGCACCGGTCTCTCCAGTCAGGTCACTACAGTCTATGCGGTCTCTCCTGTCCGCGCTGGTTTCTGTGTGCTGGTCACTCCAGTCTCTCCTCGGGTCTGCATTGGTCTCAGCGCTGGTCCGCGCTGGATCTCCTCCCAGGGTCCAAAATATTTTGAGATTAATCTCAAAACATTTTTAAATTAAGCTCATAACATTTTGAGATTAATCTCATCATATTCTTAGATTAATCTCATAATTTTGCTAGTTCGACTTTATTCTCATAATATTTCGACTTTTAAGTCAACATTTTATAACTTTATTCGACTTTTAAGTCAACATTTTATAACTTTATTCTCAGTCTGGCAAAAGAAGAAAAAAGGGTGACTCTTTTGCTCCGTGTAACTCTTTGCTTTAGGCCTGTTGCTGTTTCCTCTGCCGTCTGCACACGGCCCTTCAGTCCCTTTTATGGGCATTAATGGGCGGTTACTTATGCTAAGTACCTATGCTAATGAAGCACCTGGCACGCGCGCTCTACTTACGAGGAAATGGGATTCATCAATCTAAGAGAACAGCTGCGAACAATTCAGCGGCTTACGAGTGCGTTGATGAATCCCACGTAGGGACTTCTTAGAAATCTACTTAAGGACAACTTGAGAAGAAATTTGAGAAGTTTCTTACGAAGTAAATCGTGAATGAGGCCCAATGTCGGTACAGTCTGCTAGAGTGGACGAGATAAGAGCTTTGAGTCGAGAGCTGCTGTCTGAACACCGTGGTGTAAACAGAGTGTTGATCTACACGGGGGCAGTAGACGTCTATGACAACACAAGTGAAAAGTTGAAACGGGATTATTCTCTCTTATTTGACGACCTTGCAAAAATGGACGTAACAATTGTTATCAGTGGCCCACTACCAAATGTGGACAGGAAGCAAATGAAATTCAGTCGTCTGTATCAGCTAAATACTTTCCTACTCAACGAATGTTCACGCAGAGGACTTGCCTTCATTGAGAATTTTAATCTGTTCTGGAATAGGCATGAGCTTTTTGAAGGGAAAGGGCCACATCTGAACACTTACAGAGTAAAAGTGCTGATGGATAACCTTTCTTTTGCCCTGAGACCTCAGCCTGCGCAGCGCGTGCAGCCATCGAAAGGGAGGAAGAAACAAAGTGCCCTTCTGGCAACAACACAAACATATCCACCGACTCCAAAAGTCTCTGCACCTCCACCACCTCGAAGGATCTCAACCCCTCCACTGCCTCGAAGGATCTCAACACCACCACCGTCATCAGCAGCAGCTGCATCATCACCAGTAGCAGCACCAACAGCACCACACCAGCATCATCCTCATCCCCAGCCTGCTCCAAAGCAGTCACGCCTTCTTCATCTACAGCGCCTCTGAAGCCCCCATCCTCACCCCAGGCTACAGCAGACAGGCCTGTGCTGGGGTTTCCTCAACCACCTGCCCCTCCATCAAAGACTCCCTCGCCACCTCCCATGGACCTGTCTTGGGTCCTCCCTGCCACGTCCACTCCATCAAGAGAGAATGGGGACACGTTCCTTTGTTTTTCATCCCCGCCTTCACTGTTAGACCCACCTGAACACTCTGCAGGGCTAATAAAATTGGCAATGAAGACTATTCCTCTCACACCCATATTATCTAGATCTAGAGTCCTGTCCAACATTCAAAACCCGCATATACTGTATGTACCTCCAAAACCACCTAGGGTTTCCAATTCTCCTGATTCACCTACAAAAACCACCTCAGCCAGTCCCTCCCCTAACCTCATAACCATTCCACCCCCAATTCCCCCTCGTTCAACACCCAATACCTCCACCTCAGCCCACCCCTCCCCTAACCTATCATCAAAAACCCCTCTACCTCCCCGTCCCCCTCGTTCAACACCCAAAAGCCACCCACCTCTCCATCCTCCTCCCCCGCCTTCCCCTTCCCCTCTTTTCTCTAAACACTAGGATGCACAGGGTCTCTGCTTCGCAGCCACTGGCAGTCTAGTTAGAGGAGAGACCCGGCTGGGGCCCTGTCATGAAGCCACCTGTGCCATTCCTTTAGTGATAACACAAAGAATACATTACAGAAAAACATCTGGAGTTAATCAGTCTAATCTGGAAAATCTAATTCTTGTTCCGTGTAAGAATCAGCCGACCACAACCGCTGATACTGAAACTTTGAAACTTGCTACGCTTAATGTCAGATCTCTTTGTAACAAGTCTTTTTTAATCAATAATTTTATTTGTTCTTATAATCTGGCTTATGTCCATGGCTGAAACTTGGCTTGACCAAAATTCAGGAAATGCAGTTTTAATAGAAGCATCACCACCAAATTTCAAATTTGAATCTGAAATACGGGAAAACAAAAAAGGAGGAGGCTTAGCTGCCATTTTCAGAGACCACTTTGTCTCCCATAGAATGTCTCTTGGGAAGTTTCTGTCTTTTGAATATGTGTCTTTTAAAATACAACAAAAACAATCTCCTCCAATACTCTTCGTTGTCCTATACAAGCCTTCAGTTGTATGCACAGATTTGGATAGTTTGGTTATTACAGGTGATTTTAATATTCATGTGGATAATGTTAATGAC